TGGGCACAAAGGACAGACCACCACAAACACGCCCTTCAGGTTCTCTATAGTGCTTTTCCACAGCACCGTCGCGAATGCACACACGGAAGAAGGGCTGCTGCAGCCCCCAGCACTGGGGATGAGAAACAAAAACAAACAAAAATAAAAACAAAACAAGAGTTCTAGTAATGGAAAAACGGGCATGACGTCGTCTCCACCGGTGACAAGTTCATATCGTTATCTACCAGGTGCGCCAGCGACACGGATCGCGAGAACGCACGGTTGAGCCAAAATAAATCCCTACTTCTTCGGCGCCTTCTTCACGGCTTTCTTGGGTGCCTTCTTTGCCGCATGCTTCTTGGCACTCTTTGTAACAGCCTTCTTGGCTGCTGCAGGCTTCTTCTTGGGGGCGGCCCTCTTCTTCGCAGCAGGCTTCTTCACGGCTGGTTTCCTAGCAGTCTTCTTGGCGGGAGTCTTCTTAGCCACTGCCTTCTTAGCCACTGCCTTCTTCGGCGCGGCCTTCTTGGGCGGAACGGCAGCGTCAGACATGTTTTGCGTTCTTAAATTCCTTTCGTGCACTCTCAGCAGGATCTTCACCAAACACAAAGACAACACACAGGGAAGGGGCAGGAGGGGCAGTGAGCGGACAGCACGCGGCACGAGAAATCGCACCAAAACAACACGGTGAGAAGAATGGGCACAAAGGACAGACCACCACAAACACGCCCTTCAGGTTCTCTATAGTGCTTTTCCACAGCACCGTCGCGAATGCACACACGGAAGAAGGGCTGCTGCAGCCCCCAGCACTGGGGATGAGAAACAAAAACAAACAAAAATAAAAACGAAACAAGAGTTCTAGTAATGGAAAAACGGGCATGACGTCGTCTCCACCGGTGACAAGTTCATATCGTTATCTACCAGGTGCGCCAGCGACACGGATCGCGAGAACGCACGGCTGAGCCAAAATAAATCCCTACTTCTTCGGCGTCCTTTTTGCTTGTGGCGTTTTCGCATTTTCCGGGGTTACTCTCTTCTTGGGAGAGTTCATTCTGCTGTTCCTGCTAACAGCGCCACTCAATGCGTTTTTGTCGTCCTTCGTGGGGATCAACTTTTGGGCAGCTTCCTTTTTTTGTGCGATTTTTTTGTTTTTCTTGTGGCTTTTTGCATGCGGCATGTCTATCGTGTTTAGTGGTTTTGTTGGTGGCAAAATTGTTGCCTTTCCAATGGCCCTATTTTATGGGGGTGCCTGTCAAAAGATTGTGGGGGCGGTCATTGGCACGCTACTTCTTCCAAGACCTTTAGAGAAATAAAGAAAGATCACGCTTAAGGAAAAAGAAGATCAATAAAAGGTTCCGTAAACACATAATAATAATAATAATAATAATAATAATGTTTCGTGTGGCTTCGGCGTGTATTGCCGGTGGCGTATATTAATAGGGAAAGGAAAAATAATAAATAAAATAAAATAACATTTTTCTTTTTTTCTTTTTGTGTGTGTATTTGTGTTCTCTTCTGGTCTCTCACGACTAGTTCATTGCCATCAAATCCAATTTTCCTTCTAAATGCAATTGGAGGCGATGGGGATACATTTCTTTTCTTTTTTTTTTTTTTTTTGTTGTTGTTGTTGTCTAATACTTGCCCCCGCGTGCGCATCCCCGCAAGAATTAATAAAATTCGTTACATCAATAATATATATATATATATATAACTTTATACATGTGTAATATTTTTTTTCCTCTCCGTTGTATGCGCCTTGTCCAATGGAAAACTCATACCCCACCCTCCACACACATGCACACACACACACACACACACACGGTCTCCTGATGAGCGGCAGCTCCTGCAAAATCAACAATAATAACAAAAGAAAAAACAAAACAACAACAATAAAAAGAAAACAATGGTTGCTGCACATGTTATTTTAACTGTGTGATTGCTTCAAGTGTACCCCTCTGACACAAAATAATTTTTTTTTTTTTTATAATGATTTCTTTGGTTCCCCCTTCCTGCAGCATTGTTGATTCTTCCCGCAGCAGGAACGGCTGTGTTGCTCAGGCGATTTCCCCCACCACCACGGCCTCTTCCTGCTGCATGGTGACTCCCTTCTGTCAGACAATAAAACCCCTATTCAATGAAAGAAACACAGAAAAAAAATAATAATTATTACATATGACGGAATCAAGCGCGTTGTGCCTTTTGTTTACGGCGAGAATTAATTTGGCGAAGCATTTCTACTTCGCGTTCAATATCGCCAATTTCTTGTTCCGCCGCCATCTGCTCCATTTCGAGTTCCTTCTTTTGAGCGTCTGTAAACTTTTGGTGGGCCTTTTCAATGCGTTGCATCTCCTTCCTCATGTTTGCAGCTGTACGTATGAGTCCAGTGGATCGGCGATCCAGATCCGCGATATCCGCATCAAGTAACTCCTGGCGAGCCTCACATTTTTGATGAATACGGCACAATGAAAGAATTTCTTTGCGTAACTGCTCCACAAGTTCAGCGTCAACGCGTTCTTCGTCGGCATTTTCCTCGCTGCCAAGTGCATCACCTATCATCTCAATACGCCTCTCAAGTTTGGCGATCTGCGTGGCCCGATGACGAATAGAAATCTCGTTCTGCCGGAGAGTCTCCTCTTCTCTTTCCAGCTTGTGAACGACGGTGCGTCGCTCGTTTTCTGCTCGCTGAGCAAGCAGTAGTTCGTCGACTGGCTTTTCCTTTTCAAGCTGTTTCTCCTTTCGCTCTAAAAGGCGCCGCATGGAGTACACCTCCTCACGAATGCCTTCCAATTCAGCTCTCTTTTCCTCAAGCTGCTGTGCCGCCCTCTCGCGTTGCTCATCGAGTTCCTTGGATTTAACCAAATCAGCCAGAAGCCCTCGCATATGCTGTGTTTGCCGTTTCAGGGTCGTTTGAATGGTTTCACGATCACGGAGCGACTGTAAAATGTCGTGCTTCAGTCCGTTCTTGTAAGCCACAGTGTCCGACGCGTCCTTCAAATGTAGCAAAGTCTCCCCATCGGTGTACCCAATGCGTTGCTTTAAATCGGTGTTGAGTTCATTGACCACTTCTGTAGCCGCCGCAGAACTCCTCAATATTTCTTCAAGTTGTTTCTTCTCCTTCAACAGCTTTTTCTGTTCCCTTAACAGTAATGTGACATCACCGGCCTTGGAATTCAGCTCACCAACCACCTCAATGGGAAGAGTGATTGTGCGACACTTGATTTTTTTCGAGGTTCCGTTGCCATCTGAAGGAGTTGCGCCGATCGCCCGGACATCCCGCTCTCTTACGCGACACGTCTTCTCAAGTGTCGCAACTTTATCCCGAAGCTCACGGCATTCCTCATCGGCCTTGAGAAGAGTCTTGACTAAATCCGCCGCCTCCGCTATTTCTCCCTTCATTTCTTACACACACACACACACACACAATCTCCTTCTCTTTCTCTCACTTTCTTTCTCTTTTTGCCTTTGGCTGCCGGTTTGATGGATAATTTTCCTTTTTTTTTGTTTGGATCTTTTTTCATCGGGGAATAGAGGGGTTTGTGAGGAACATGTGTGTTCATGGGTTGCAAGAGGTAAGGATGCAAAAGAAACAATAAAGATAATTAACAATAACAATAGTGGCAACCATGCAGAAATAATAAACATTGGCAACCCAATATGTTGACCAATAGGGCAGAGAAACCGTGCTTGATAACACCGCACTTTTTTAAATATTTCTTTTTGTTGTGTTTGCTCTCCTGCATCATGCCCCCTCTCCTTCCTTATTGGGTACTCCTTCCGATTTGGGCACACACAAACAAACAAACACCCAAACACACACTCAAAGGTGCACTCATGCGAGGGAACAAGCACATGCACGAACACAACCCCGCGGACACACGCAGTCCAATGTACAAAGATGCGACTCACACATAGAAAAATAAAAATTGATGACCTCCAGAACCAAATCTCCACTGCTACGACGTATACTCGCTAGTTGCCCTTCGAAGACGATGGATCACTGTCCGGTGATGTAATGTCACCCATATTTTCGTTAACAGGCTTCTCAATCTCTTCTTTGCCCAGGCCATATTGTCTAACTACTTCCTCAGCAGCCCTCACACCTTGTTGAGCTGCTTGGGCGGCCTCTTCGACACTATGTAGCCTGTTCACGTCGGTACAAACTTTTTCAGGCTTTTCGCCCTTGTCGGTGAATCTCCTTGGAGGGGGCTTGGGGCCATGGCCCTTCGTGTGAGGGAATCGGAAAATGTCATTCTTCAAAACGTCATCTTCATGCACTTCAACACGACTGTCGTCGTTTAAGTCTTTGTTCTTCCGAAGCACAGAGACAAACTCGTCGTAGTGGCCACGAGGATCCGTAAATCCCTTTGCCCCCTGGGCCTGAGAAAGAGCAAAGTTGAACTCAGCAGCCTCACGCATTTGTTTACGTGTTTGCTCCTCATTTGCCGAAAGACGCTCATTATAAACTGGGACGCCGTGGATGGTGTCCACAGCGCGTTTGATTCGACGTGTTCTGTCAAGCCACCACTGGAACTTGGCTTGATTGCGATCATCTTTCCCGAAATCAGCAGCATACACGTGTTTGTAAACTTGCCGTCTTGTCCCATAGGGCTTTGGCTTAATGCCCAACACCTCAGGTTTCTCAAGAAGTTCTTCTTCTGTGAATACGGCATCACCGGCTTCCAACTCTTGAATTCGACGCTCCTCCAGGAGGTCTTCCATTTCATTTGTTTGCGCCGCACGCTCTCTCCTTTTTTTCTCGCGTAAGCTGGCTCCCAAATCATCAAGCGACTTCACACCACGACTCCGGTTGGTGAGGTATTGCTCCTCCTGCAACACTTCCTGTTCGGTGTACCCAATCTTCCGCAATATTTCGGCCTCGCGCGCCCTTTCAATCTGCTCTTTTCGCGCTGCGATGTGTGTGTTTGCATCTTCGATAGTTTTATGAAGTTTCCCCTTGTAGTTTCGGTACTGCAAACGGGGAAGTTCCACGGTATCCAGAATATCCTGTAGCACATTTCTTTCCAGTTTTGTCGAGGGTAGAAGCTCATCTACCCCCTTCTTGCGCTGCTCCGCGGCAAGCACCCACTTTAAATCCTCGTCATCAATGCGTCCACGGACCAATGCGTAGGGCTCAAACTTGTCACGCTCCCACGAAAGTGGGAGATTACCGCTGATGATAACTTGATCTGTGCGTTGGTTGTCTACCATCTCCATGTAAGTGTTAAGGTACCAGCGGGGGGCCGTGTGGTCTGTCAGCTCCGTGCTGCTCGCATCCTTTGAAGTTTCCACGTACATGAGAGGCTCCGTGTTGACGTCTTCGAGGCGTCTGTTGATGCCTTGGGCGGTAAACTCCGGTTTCTTGAACTGCTGTTCAACCGGAATCCTGTCGGCACGCGGAATCTGTTTTGCTACATACCGCACAGGCGCCTCGCGTGCCGGCCTGCTTCTCGCAGCTCCCATACCCAACAGAAGAAGTGGACCACCTTTTTTTTCCTGCGGATTACAACAGAAATTTGCACGGAAAAAAAAACGCCCTCAAACAGAGAGTACCAGCATGCACACAGATAAAAAAAAAAGCCCACACACAACACAGAAAGGAGCTCAATTTAAACTCAGGAAAAAAAAAGAAAAAAAGCATTAATAATCCACTTAAGGCAACTCTTAGGATCACGCACGAAAGCTGCAGGAAATGCGGTAAAGCACAATATATATATATATGGAAAACGCAATGCAGTGCATGATACCAGCAACGCTCACCCCGTGTCATTGTCTCGGCCATTATTGTCATTCACATCACACTCCCAGAGGTTTTTTGCGTCAAAAGAGACACCTCTTTTCCAGAAATGATAAGATGCATCTTCCAAAAAAGTGTGCCAGTAGAAAAAGCAGAAATAAAGCAACAACGACAATCACAGAAAACACACTGGACAGATAAATTCGATTATTGTTCACTTTGTCATGAGCATCCGCCCAACGAATCCATTCCAAATAAAACTTCTCCTTCGCAAAACGCATAGCGTTGGATAACTTTTCCATACCTGGGGGAAATCTCTGAATCACCTTTTCTCTACGAAGCAGCACATAGGCGCTCCAAATGTGTTGCCGTACCAGCATCATGCATGGAGGATCCAAGTGAACACCATCCGATAGCGTACAAAATGTATAATTCCCATTGAATAAATGTTGTGTTGGAATCACGGGAATATTTAAATGCCAGGCCATCGCCATAAGCACGCGTCGATAAAAAGGCACCACTAAATGCGCAATAAAGTCCCCACATCTTTTAAACATGTTGGCTCGTCCAGTAAAACGACTCGCAGAACAATTATGAGGCAACTGCTCAAGAAACATAATAAGAGGACGACGATGCACGGGTTTCTGCTGTAACGCATGCTGAATTTTCTCCATCAGCTTTTGAACGTGTTTTGTCCAATAATTGATTGCGATTGGAAATTTACGCGCGGGTCCCCCCCCCCCCCTCCAAATGTGGAACTTTGTTCCGATGGTTGATTTGCCAATTCAAGTCCCACGTGCCCACGTAAAGTAAAATCACACGTGTCCCAATCCTCTCGGCCAATGGTGCGACTGATCAAAGGCAGTGACAGACTGATATAACGAAGCTTAAGAAAATGCGCCGTGGCATTCCTAAAATCACCAATAGGAAACATATTAGAAGTCGCATTTGAATCCACCCGCGTATAACTCGTCGTATTCACCGATGCAACTTCACTCCCTCGAAGCGAGACATCCACCACCACGTGATCATCCAAATCCGAAATCCTGCCATATCCAAAAATTCGCATGAATGAAAAAAAAGAATTCACGGCAAACACAAAATTCCTGTGGGCAATGCTATCATCGACAAAAAAAAAAAATTGACTCTTAGGCTCTCTAAAAAAGACTTTCCGCTGCAGCTCCTTAACATCCATGACGCGAAACCCACATGGATTTTTTCGCCAACGAAAGTCAGAAAAGTTTACGGGGTCCGCGTTTTGGTACATATGACGAACACACCACCACCATGTCTAGGCTGCACATCCTCCACGCGAGAGCCAACATCACCCGGCAACGTCGCAAGAACAATCAAAAACAATAAACACGGGCAAAAAAGCCAGCAAAAGACACTCCTCATTGTGCTTCAAATTGGCAACCATACAACATTCAACTTCAACCAGATAAAAAAAAAAAAAAAAAAAAAAAAAGAATCTCCTTTCAATACACACACAATATTCAAATAAAATCGCAAACCACAAAAAGAAAAACACACACACACAAAAAAAAAAAAAACACCAAAATAATAACCACCACCATCTAACAACAAAACAAAAAATAATAATAATAAAATACAACAACTGAAACCAACCAAAATGCTTCAAACAATCAAGAAATACTACCATTTTCTTGGATGCCTTCTTCTGATCCGGCTGCTTAGCACTCTTATTAACAGCTTTCTTGGCTGCTGCAAGCTTCTTCTTGGGGGCGGCCCTCTTCTTCGCAGCAGGCTTCTTCATGGCTGGTTTCTTAGCAGTCTTCTTGGCGGCAGGCTTCTTAGCCGCTGCCTTCTTCGGCGAGGCCTTCTTGGGCGGAACGGCAGCGTCAGACATGTTTTGCGTACATAAATTCCTTTCGTGCACTCTCTGCAGGATCTTCACCAAACACAAAGACAACACACAGGGAAGGGGCAGGAGGAGCAGTGAGCGGGCAGCACGCGGCACGAGAAATCGCACCAAAACAACACGGTGAGAAGAATGGGCACAAAGGGCAGACCACCACAAACACGCCCTTCAGGTTCTCTATAGTGCTTTTCCACAGCACCGTCGCGAATGCACACACGGAAGAAGGGCTGCTGCAGCCCCCAGCACTGGGGATGAGAAACAAAAACAAACAAAAATAAAAACAAAACAAAAGTTCTAGTAATGGAAAAACGGGCATGCCATCGTCTCCACCGGTGACGAGTTCATATCGTTATCTACCAGGTGCGCCAGCGACATGGATCGCGACAACGCACGGTTGAACCAAAATAAATCCCTACTTCTTCTTCGGCGCCTTCTTCACGGCTTTCTTGGGTGCCTTCTTTGCCGCATGCTTCTTGGCACTCTTATTAACAGCTTTCTTGGCTGCTGCAGGCTTCTTCTTGGGGGCGGCCCTCTTCTTCGCAGCAGGCTTCTTCACGGCTGGTTTCTTAGCAGTCTTCTTGGCGGCAGGCTTCTTAGCCGCTGCCTTCTTCGGCGAGGCCTTCTTGGGCGGAACGGCAGCGTCAGACATGTTTTGCGTTCTTAAATTCCTTTCGTGCACTCTCAGCAGGATCTTCACCAAACACAAAGACAACACACAGGGAAGGGGCAGGAGGAGCAGTGAGCGGGCAGCACGCGGCACGAGAAATCGCACCAAAACAACACGGTGAGAAGAATGGGCACAAAGGGCAGACCACCACAAACACGCCCTTCAGGTTCTCTATAGTGCTTTTCCACAGCACCGTCGCGAATGCACACACGGAAGAAGGGCTGCTGCAGCCCCCAGCACTGGGGATGAGAAACAAAAACAAACAAAAATAAAAACAAAACAAAAGTTCTAGTAATGGAAAAACGGGCATGCCATCGTCTCCACCGGTGACGAGTTCATATCGTTATCTACCAGGTGCGCCAGCGACATGGATCGCGACAACGCACGGTTGAACCAAAATAAATCCCTACTTCTTCTTCGGCGCCTTCTTCACGGCTTTCTTGGGTGCCTTCTTTGCCGCATGCTTCTTGGCACTCTTATTAACAGCTTTCTTGGCTGCTGCAGGCTTCTTCTTGGGGGCGGCCCTCTTCTTCGCAGCAGGCTTCTTCACGGCTGGTTTCTTAGCAGTCTTCTTGGCGGCAGGCTTCTTAGCCGCTGCCTTCTTCGGCGAGGCCTTCTTGGGCGGAACGGCAGCGTCAGACATGTTTTGCGTTCTTAAATTCCTTTCGTGCACTCTCAGCAGGATCTTCACCAAACACAAAGACAACACACAGGGAAGGGGCAGGAGGAGCAGTGAGCGGGCAGCACGCGGCACGAGAAATCGCACCAAAACAACACGGTGAGAAGAATGGGCACAAAGGGCAGACCACCACAAACACGCCCTTCAGGTTCTCTATAGTGCTTTTCCACAGCACCGTCGCGAATGCACACACGGAAGAAGGGTTGCTGCAGCCCCCAGCACTGGGGATGAGAAACAAAAACAAACAAAAATAAAAACAAAACAAAAGTTCTAGTAATGGAAAAACGGGCATGCCATCGTCTCCACCGGTGACGAGTTCATATCGTTATCTACCAGGTGCGCCAGCGACATGGATCGCGACAACGCACGGTTGAACCAAAATAAATCCCTACTTCTTCTTCGGCGCCTTCTTCACGGCTTTCTTGGGTGCCTTCTTTGCCGCATGCTTCTTGGCACTCTTGGTAACAGCCTTCTTGGCTGCTGCAGGCTTCTTCTTGGGGGCGGCCCTCTTCTTCGCAGCAGGCTTCTTCACGGCTGGTTTCCTAGCAGTCTTCTTGGCGGCAGTCCCCTTAGCCACTGCCTTCTTCGGCGCGGCTTTCTTCGACGAGGCCTTCTTGGGCGGAACGGCAGCGTCAGA